ATTTTTCTCAGATTTGTCATTTTTAGGATCATCATTGCATAGACTCATGTGACCATGCAATTTCCCTTTCACAATATTAAGGGAATAGAAGCAGAAAACAATAACTGGAAAACATTGACAAAAAATAAAGAATAGTCAATATACAACAAAGACAAAGGTAAACAATTGACACATCAATAAAACAAATCTAAACTATACTTTCTCTTTAATAGAAACAGCAGATATGATAGACAAAGAAGTAAAATTAGTATTAATACTAGCACAATTTCTGGGAAAAACACAAGCCAAAAAATCCAGTATCTCATTAAGACACTCAAATGCCCAAAAGGGCTTCTTTCTATCTGCAGCAAAGGAAAAAATAACCAAGAACAGTTCATAGCCATCTTTGGTAATCGCCAAGCAGCAGATTATACATGCACTATCAAACTTCCAGATTTGGAGAACAAGTACTTGCAATACATGCCGATGATCAATCCAAGCACTAAAAAGGAAAATATTATCACAATCAATATAAAGAAGAAGACAACAAGCCCAATAACCATCCAAAACCAAACAATAATACCACTAACAACACATCAAACAGCAAGAATCCTGGAAGTATATATCAAAAGCAACAACACAAAGCTCTTTCAAAACAACTGATAAGAGAAAAACACTCAAGTTTGCAAATACAATTAAATGGAAAACAAGTATAGACAAACAACTTAGATACCTACACAATCATATCTGGACTCTAGCAGTGACATACCTCTTAACAGATATGACAATCTCTAAAAAATAAAGTAACAAATTGATGCAAACACTAAGCAGAATATACAAACACAAAATCAATATGACACTAACTGTATCAAACACAATCCTTTTTAATCCAATTGAATATGGATTTTTCCACATTTGGAACAGACAACTATTAATACACGCAAACAGTTAGTACAAATGAATAACAGATTAAAGTTTGCTAGGAAAAATAATACAGATAAGATTATAAGAACTATAGAACAGATGGTGGTTGACATCAGCAGTCACAAGCATAACATTAAATAAATCATTCCTACCACCAGGACAAGATCTTACATACAATATAACAGTACTCTTAAGACATCATCACTTTACAAAAGAAACAAATAACATTGGTATCATTAAAAAAACAGATACAACAATTGAAGAGATAATAGGAGAGAAGTGATACACAAAGTACAGAAAGCAATTAAAAACAAATCAAATAATGTTTATTTACCAAATCATCAATTATGCAGGTACAAGACTAGCAGCATGGCTAGAGATAATATATATCAACAAAAAACCCAACTAGAAGAAACCAAAATGGTTCACAGAAATTCAAATAATCAAAAAATAATTTAAACAATTAACAACAACAGAACAACACAAGATGCACACAGACTAAAACAAAAAACAGCAGTCAAAATCCCACCTGCAGAAATAAAATGGGTAATACTAAAGAAAAATAACAAATACATAATAGGAAGAAAGAAAAAATATAAAAACAATGAGATCAAAATACAACATTACAACAGAATTAACAACAATTCACCTTTAACAGAATGTTCAGGCTACGAATATGATATACAAGACAAACAAGGGAAATGCAGTTTCACAGAAGCAGCAAATAGCACAATATGTTGTTATCGATATATGGCAAGTTGGTCATTAGTCTGAAGCTAGGGCTTGTATAATGATAAAGATAAGGTTGGGGATCGTTTGCTTAACCAAAGGTATATATTAATAGACTTCCTTCTCTTGTATTGCTGATATAATCCTTTATCACAATTCTTTTTGGGTCTCTAGGATTCTTATAACAGCCAATAACTCTCTATAGGCAAGTTTATTAATGTATTATGGTAAATACAAATGGTATTTTAATAAGCAAGCTTCTTTATTACTTTTATATTTACAACTACTATTTCTATCTCTTCCTTTTGTTAGTCGAGTCTAGCTATATTTATACTATGAGCGACACGTCTATTAAGCTTCTATTGCATATGCAAAATAAGCTTTAGGCTAATTAAACTTTCTAATTCCTGATCTGCTGTATCGCGCCAAATCATGTGACTATCAGCGATCCAGATCATCCCACTCATTTTTTCCTGCTAACAATGTATATCAGTTCACAAAAGCCAAATGAGCACTAGAGACATATCCAATAACAAGCTACAGTACAGAATAAAAATTATACCCAACAGTATCAATAATATAATTGATAACAATTTTTAATAACCTTCGCATCCCACCATTAATTATAATTATATAAGATTAAATACACATAGCACAATTGATAAGACCTATGGATCTATAGCTTAGTGGTTAAGCTCCATAGGTCACTATCACATGAATCCGAGTTCAAGTCCTTCAAGAGGCAAAATATTTAAAAATATTTTCAATTGAATACGGAATCCGCCTACGGTGTTACATATAACTAATCATTACCCTGATTAGATAAAAAATCTACAATGTATGTGATAGGAAGACACAATTGTCCGATTGTAGGTCTGAAAGAAACTCCCTACCGACAGGATG